AACTGATTTGTTTGATGTGGGTCATTGTAACCTGAGTTTCCCAAGCTGTGGGAAGAGCAAGTCCATGCCATGCTATGGACTTGTGTAACTGCAGTATCTTACTATATTATCATCAGCAAAATTGAGATATCTTGACCTCCAGACTTGAAGTATGTTGTTCAGTACTTTGCCTTTGTTTGCAGGCTCGTGGAATTGATGTGCAGCAAGTATCGCTGGTTATAAATTACGATCTGCCAACCAATCGTGAAAACTACATTCACAGGTGAGTTGAATTTTTGAATTTCAATTCTGAAATCCCTTCAGAATCTTCACATCTTCAAACTTCCCTCGCTTTCTTGCATTATATAACGTGTGTGTATGTGTGCGCGTATAGTGTGATGAGGATGGGAGGGGCAGAGCTTCTTGATTAGCCAATGAAACAAAACAGTGGGAAAACTTAAGTTTATTCAATTTTTGATAATTATCAAAGATATCAAAGACTGCTAAATTAATGTTTAGATGCTTGAATTTTGCAAACATGTTTTAAAGAAGTTGCTATTGCGTATTGCGATTAGGAAAAACATGTTCAGAGGTCTGTGCTTTTCATAAAGTTGTTGTTAGTTTAATACTGCTTTATTGGACCTTTCTTTGTGCCAATGCCTCCACTGCTTCCTTTGGTTCCACAGTGGGATTCTTTCTCTGGTGTCTTCTAGTAGAACTTTAAATTTACCTCCCTAAGCTGTTGTCTATCTTAGTGGCTTTGTCCGTAAATGAAATAAATTGTACCTTATTACTTGATACAAAAAAATACAGGAGTCGGTAGCCCAGTTGATGACGAGATGATGCTCAGAAACGACGACGTAATTTAGGACGTGGATTCGTAAGCGGCACACTGTTTGCATAAAGAGCGAGTTGGTATTTATATACTTTTCTTTTGTAATGACTGTTGTGAGCTATGTTTGTCTTAAAAAGCTCTTAATGGTTTGGCCAGGTAGAAGCAGAAGTTGTGGGTTTGTCAACCTGTAGATCTACTGTGTGCCCAGTACTGTAATTTTTACGTTGTTTGTTTGACAAGATGGTGATAAGTTTTCCCACTGAATACGTTTGTCTCTTTGAAAATAGAGTATTAACTTTTGGCTTTTAAGAACTACAATTGGAATTATAGTCTCTGTGATTTAAAACAAGCTTGGTAATTTGGAGGCTGACATCAAGCTCTGTCCGTGTTCAGAAGAAATGGTGTGGGAGAACTTTTTCCCAAAGTTCTCCAGAATGGGGGGTGGGTGTGGGGGGAATGAGATCAGCAAAAATTATTTGGAAGTCACGTTGAATGTAATATCTTGTCTACACCAAGACTGAGAAGCTTTTCTATAATCAAAAGTATTAGTCAATATTTGCTATGCTACTTTTAAAATGCTCGGCCATACAAAATAGCATAAGAGATTGTAATAACATTAATCTGGCAATGAGTATCAATACTAGTTTCTGGCTCCCTCCCCCCAAAACAGGTTTTGTTGTGTGTCCAAAAAGATTAGAGTAATGTTGTATGTATTTGCTTTTTTTGCAGGATTGGTCGAGGTGGTCGTTTTGGCAGGAAAGGTGTGGCTATAAACTTTGTCACTGAGGAGGACAAGCGGATCCTCCGGGATATTGAGACTTTCTACAATACTACAGTGGACGAAATGCCTATGAATGTGGCTGACCTCATTTAATCCCTGGGACGAGATGTTTTTGGAATGCAGTGCTCGCTGTTGCTGACCAGGCGATCCACAACGTGCATTGTGCTTTCTTGGGGGATACATTGAATCTTGTCTCAATGCTCATTACGGATCAGAAATACAGATTTTTGATAAGCAAAGCGACATTTTGTCGTGAGCTTTTGTGGGGGAGAGCCTTTGGCTTTCTCCTCTTTTTGGGTTTAGACTGTTGGGGTTGGGTGGAAAGTCATGGGTTCTGTAAATTTTTTCTTTATTAGAAATTTGTTTCCTAGTTCTGTAGAAGTGGTAGTGCTAGATGTTCTTTATCATTTAATAATTTACTTATGGACTAAAAGATATAAGTGCTGTATAAAGTCAGCCAATTATGTTAAACTAGCATACCTACCTTTATTGTATGTTATAATTCTATATTAGACTAAATTGGAAAGGCCTTTCAAAATGTCTAAACTTTTATAAGAACATAAAAATGCTTTTTTGTTTGGTATGTATTTATTGAATAAAGTATTTAATTAGTGTTAAGTGTGATCTGGACCCTGTTGCTAAACCCTGCAAGCAATCATTACTATTGTCTTAGTTAGGGTTTAAGAACCCATTAAAATTGCCATATTGCACATGTCTTAATGAAGTTTGAATGTTCAATAAAATATTATATATTCACTTCATTGGATGAATTGGATGCTTTTTGGAAATTGGCAATGCAATTCTGGGTTTCTGTTTCAATCTTCATACAGACCACCTGGTATGTATCTGCAAGTGTGCAACATTCAAATATAATGGTAGCAAATTGATTTGTGTTCTGTCTGATTAGTGGAGCTAGTGGTACAGGTAGTCCTTGATTTATGACTGTTACTGAGCCCAGAATTACATTCATAAGTCATGCCAGTGGTTAAGCAGTCCTCAGCTGACTGATTTTGATATATATATATATATATATATATATATATATATATATATATATATATATATATATATATATATATATATAGTTGTAAATGCAGGCATGGGGGAGGGTAGTCATCATGACATCAAAACCAGGTGATAGGTAACTTTGATCAGGCACTAAGTGATCAGGCATCATCAGTCAAGGACTACCCTGTATACCTAATTTTGAATGAATTCACCATGCTTCAGTTGTATTAGCACATAGGGTCATCTAGATCAGGCATGTCAAACTGCCAGCCCATGGCCCGGATGTGTCACGCCGAAACCGCACCTACCCCATTGCCAGCAATGGGAAAAATACATCGCACGTCACAGGATGTTGCAAATTTGACATGCCCGATCTAGATAGTAGATACTAACAAAGATCTTGTTCGAGTTGACACCAAACTACTCTTTGAACAGTAATGAGACAAACCAGTGTTTGGGTATTATGCCCTGGTTTTTACCACTTCAACTACAAATTTATTCTGTTTCTTTTTACTCAAGAACGCTCAGGAGAGCTGAGACTGCTTTTTCCACTTAAAAATTATTAAGTTACTTTGATTAGAGTTGGAGAAAGCTCAAAAGACCAAGGCTACTGTTACTCTTGTGCTAATGCAAAAAGTTTGCCTTGCCTGAATGCATGGAATGCATTCCAATTTTCATAAACCCAGAAGCACTTTGAGCCATAAGTTCAAACTATCATTCAGGTTGCCAATCTTGTTTCACTGTTCTTCCTATTTTCTTGCTGTTCCTTTGTATTTTATCACTACATTCTAATGAAGGATATTTAAAATCTGCTGAAATGCTATTGGCTATAAAATTGTATTTGGTGCTTAACATGGAGTAGTTTATTTGAAAATCAAAGCTGACTAAAAATTTAAAAGTTGTTAACCTAAATTTCAAATAATGAGAAGCATGCCTTTCCAATTACAAGGTCAGCCCTTTAGAACAGTGGTTCTCAACCTTTCTAATGCCGCGACCCCATAATACAGTTCCCCATGTTGTGGTGACCCCCAACCACTTATACATCACCGGGTGCCAGAGGCGTGGCCAAAGAAAAGGGGGAAAAATGGCGGACAGCCTTGTTTGGCGACCCCCGTGAAATGGTCGTTCGACCCCAAATGGGGTCCCGACCCACACGTTGAGAACCGCTGCTTTAGAATATCTTTTGAAGTCCCAACAGGCCCCGCCCTTTTGTCCTGGAATAGGGCGAGGTCATAGTGGAAGGAGTGTGAGATGGCTTACATCAGAGATGAGTGGTCCCAGTATTTTTTTTTTTTTTGTTCTAATTTTTCTTCGGTTTAGCCCAGTGGTTCTCAACCTGTGGGTCGGGACCCCATTTGGGGTCGAATGACCATTTCACGGGGGTCGCCAAACCACGCTGTCCGCCATTTTTTTTCCTTTTCCCCAGCTGTCCTACTCCCTCTTATTGGTAGCCACACCCACTTGGGGGTCACCACAACATGGGGAGCTGTATTATGGGGTCACGGCATTAGAAAGGTTGAGAACCACTGGTTTAGCCCAATATGTATTGATTTGAGTTTTAAAATGGGCAACTACTACAAACGTAAATAAATGAAACTTGGAAGATGAAATAAACAGTTCAGGAGAAGTACTGAAAATGGCATTTAACACTAGTAACAAGCAATTACGAGTGTGCACAGACAAAGCCCAGTTGTGTTTAGCCCCATGTGAGTTTTCGCAGAAATAAAATCTGGAGAGATGCCTTGAAGATGAGTAGCACCCAGCTGGTGCTTATAATCCACATAAACCATCATTTTAATAATGTAAAGGGGGCCTGTGGCAAAAATATTTGAGAACTACCCTAATCTAAAGACATATACCTGTTGTGTTCAATTACATGTTTGTGTGCACACTTTTCAGTCAGTATTGGCTCCTGGTAAGTACCTGGACATGTCCTTAACAATTTTCCTAGAAGGAAATCAGAAGTGATGTGCCACTTCCTATTTCCTAGGGCTGAGTTTGTGTGATTGGTCCAAGGTTGGTCAGCTGGCTTTGTAGCTAAGATGGGACTAGAACTCATGGTCTCCCAGTTTCTAGGCTAATGCCTTTAGTCACTATAGCAAACTGGTTCTCTATTGTAATAATATGATCTCTTAACCATAGCTTCTATTTTAATACAGCGTTCCCCAATCTTTCTGGGTTGGTGGCCTGGTGTGGGGAGGGGGGAGGATGGAGGGGCTGTGAGCACCTGTCCCCACTACTCACACAGCTCAGTTGCAAATAGATTGGGGAGCCCTGTTTTAACACTGCTAACAACCTGATCACCAGATGGGTTGTATATTATATGTATTGCTTCCCTCAGTAGCTTGTCTATAGAGTAGACCTGAACAAAAAAAAGTTATAATGAAAGCGATAAGATGAAAGTTCAAAGCAATGTCTATATTTACAGAACAGTTTGCAAACTGTGTGCCAAAACTACAGAGAAAAGGTCTATAGCCATCAAAAGGCTACTTGTCTCCTACAGTTAGCTATTCTGAATTAGCTGCTGCATCATGACTGCACAGATGCTGATCAACTGCAAGAACTCATCAGAACCATCTGCCAAGCACTTGTCTGTTTCCTGCAAAACAAAACAAAATATTTAAGATTTGCCAAGTTTGGTAACAACCATACGTGGTGGGTATAAAGCAAAATGTTTAGCAGATATATTTCCTCTTCCCTTGTAAAATATGCATCAAACTTTTTTTATTCTAGAGGAGAATGACACTAAACTGCCTGTCTCGTATTCATTAATATACAGGTGGTCCTCATTTAACAACTACTCATTCAGCAACCTTGTAACAGCACTCAACATGTAGCTATGACTGGACCTCATGCTTACAACATTGCAGCGTCCTGTAGTCATGTGTTCATTATATGCAACTTTCTCTGCCCATTTCCCACAAGCACAGTCAATGGGGAACCTGGCAGGAAGTCGTGGTTATCTGAGATCCTTGCTTAATGATTCACCAATCCTTAACTATGGCACTGGAAATATCACTCAGAGGAGTGCTCACATGGTTTTTCGATTTACAACCACATTGCTTAACTATAGAGTTTGGTCCCAATTATAACTGTTAATCAAGGACTACCTGTGCACATACAGAGACATAAAGTAAGTCTCTATTTTATTACAATATGTAAAACAGAACCAAAACAATGAACGTTATCAGCAAAACAGTTTACTAAAATTGCATACCAAATTTTAAAACTACTGAACTTTTTAGCCATTTTTCAGGCAATTGTTCTTCTAGTTGCCAGTACAGAAAAATCTGCTGGCCCAGTCTTTACCAACCTATACCCTCTAGATTTAGTTAGGTTATGCCTACTAAAACTTCCAGCTAACATGGAAGGATGTACGACAACTCGCCACAGCCCTCTCGCCGGTGCCAACTTGCTGCGGCCAACTCACCATGGGCAACTCGCCGCAGGACAAGAGTTATACTAATATAGAAGAAGTAGTCAAATAGAATCATTAAATGAAATTTTATCAAAATTTGTCCCCTTAGAGGTTCCCTCAATTGCATGTCTGGGAATCCCCCAGATAGGTATTTTATAATTTAATCTATAATAATACTTCTTCCAAACACGAAGTAAGGCATTCCTCAAAATATGTGATTTAAAAGTCCGATCAACTTTCTTATTAAAAATTAAATATGCATGCCAACCATATATTAAATCCCAACCTTCCAAAAAAAGAATATCCATATTTGTTAAATTAAGCCAATCACTTAACCAAGTTAGGGCAGCTGCATCATAATATAATTTCAAATTGGGTGCCTTAAGTCCCCCTCTTTCTTGAGCATCCTGTAATATCTTAAATTTAACCCTTGGTTTCTTCCCGGCCCATATAAAATTATTGATACCCTTTTGCCATTCCTCCAAATTTGCCTCTTTTTTAAGAATAGGTATCATCTGAAACAAAAAAAGAAACTTTGGTAGAACATTCATTTTTACAGCTGAAATTCTCCCCAACAATGACAATTGCAATTTTTTCCAATCTATTAAATCCTTTTGGACTTTTGCCCATAGTGGTTCATAATTGTTCTTGTACAATTTTCCATTTGAAGCAGTTAGATATACTCCCAAGTATTTAACCTTTTTTACCATCTGAAAACCTGTGGCTTTAATCAAACTTTCCCTTTCTTTAACTGACATATTCTTAGATAATATCTTAGTCTTATAATTATTAACTTTAAAACCAGAAACATTCCCATACTGTGTTATAAGTTCTAATAAACCATCAATCGCCTGATTCGGCTGTTCCAAAATTAAAACCAAATCATCCGCAAATGCCCGCAATTTATACTCATTCTTCCTTATCTTTACACCCTTAATTAACTTCGATTCCCGAATCTGAATCAATAAAATTTCCAATGTTAAAACAAATAACAATGGGGATAATGGACATCCTTGTCTTGTCCCTTTTTGAATATTAAAATTCTCAGTCAATCCCCCATTTACAACAATTTGTGCAGATTGCTGCTGATATATAGCTTTAAGTGCATGTAAAAAATTATCCCCAAAATTCATTTTCTCTACCAAAGAAAATAAAAATTGCCAGTCCAATTGATCAAAAGCTTTTTCAGCGTCCAAAAAGATAAAAGCCACAGGAATCTGATTATTCTTATCCAAGTACTCAATTAAGTTAATAATTTGTCTAACATTATGTTTCATATATCTCCCTGTTATAAATCCTGCTTGATCACTATGAATCAAGTCTTTCATAACCTGCATTAATCTATTTGCCAAAATTTTTGTAAAGATCTTATAATCAACATTCAATAATGAAATTGGCCTATAATTTCATATAAAGAATTGTTAATTTGTTCTGGTTCGAATTGGCATTTGAAATCCCTAGATGTATTAAGGCAGCAAAATATTCTACAGTCATGGTTTCAATATTTACAAATAATGGATAGATGGACTGTAGACAAGAAAGAGGGAATAACACTAGAAGATAGACAATTGGTTATTCAGATTAAAAACCAAGATCCGGCTCATATAAAAAGAATATATAATGTTTTATTAGAGTTAGATTCGGAAACAGAATTGGTTAAAGATTGTATGATTAAATGGGCTCAGAATATACAGGAGCCGATCTCATTGGATTTATGGGAGATAATTTGGATAAGAAATGTTAAATTTACACAAGCTCAAAATTTGAGAGAAAATTTTTATAAAATGTTTTATAGATGGCATTTAGATCCTAAAAAATTATCTTGTATGTATTCCAACATACAGCCCAAATGTTGGAGATGTGGCAATAATGATGCGACATACTTTCATATTTGGTGGAATTGTAAAAAAGTAAAGGCTTTTTGGATTATGATTTGGTGGAACATTCAAAAGATTTTTAGAAAGAAGATAAAGTTTACTCCTCAACTATTTTTACTTGGTATTTTTGTTGACTTAAATGAAAAAGAAACTACTTTGATGTTGAATTTATTAACTGCAGCAAGGTTACTAGTAGGTCTATATTGGAAGAAAGATTCTTTGCCTACTTTAGAAGAATGGATATTTAAAGTATCTAGTTTTGCAGAAATGGCAAAAATTTCTGCTTATTTAAAGGATCATACACAAGAAAGATATATTACTGTATGGCGAAGGTGGATAGATTATATTCAGAAAAAATATGGAATTAAAAAGTTTTATTTATTTTATGAATGAATATCAAATATTATAGAGAATTGTTTTATAAGTTATGGAGTTAAAGGTTAATTATGATATTTTTTTCTTTCTCTTTTTTTTTCTTTTTTCTTAATTATTATAATTTTCTTTTTCTTTTTTTTTCTTAACCCTGTATTCTGCTCTGGGAAGTGAAGGGAGGGGGGGTGGGGGTGGGAGGGAGGGTAAGGGGCGGGGTTCTCTATTTTAAAATTTTATTGTATTTTTATAAATGATTGTATGTTTTAAAAAATAAAAATTTTCAATAAAAATAAAAAAATAGAATCATTAAAGAAAAGACTGCAAAAGAGATATGAAACAAAATGTGAATTATTTTAAATAATTAAATTGAACTGTTGAATTGTCTGGCAGCAAATTGTCCCTTGGCAAGTTGACATGGCAAGTTGTCCCACAGCGAATTGGCCATGGCGAGTTGGCTGAAGTGAGTTGTCCCATTCCGTCATGGACATGGTCCAACCCACCTGAAGACACCCACCTGAAGATGGCTGAACTATCTATCATTGTTTTCATTTCACTTTTCCTAAGTCTCTATGGCAAAAATATTAGCTTATATTGAACACTTGTCTAAATTATAGGAAACAAGCAAACACATAAATGCATAGATAGCTACATCGTAGACTTCTCAATATTTTTTGTTCTTGTTACTATGAAGTAGCACAGGAAAATTGGTGAAGTTGCAACCACCACCATGAAACAATTTGTGAAACTGTTTTCCTTGCATCCCCCTAGCATATCCCAACTATTATCTATTGTCATAAAAGCAAACACCATTACATATACCAAACTATCATACTGATACTTTATGATTCTCTTTATTTACTTTTATTTATATATTTAGAAATCACCCATCTCTGTCTTACTGCATATGACTTCTAAAGTACAACTTCCCACAAGTCCTTAATGTTTCATATTCAGTTTTAACCACGTATTTCATTAGCCTCTGATAGAGCTCAAATGCAAGTACTTAAAACTTACAGCAAATTTCTCTATAATTACAGATTTTTGCTTGTCACTGAGGTCTTCTTTGTCAACAATGATATCGTGAAGCTGGTTTATCAGTTGAGTAGCTGCATAGCCTTCGCTGATCACATTCTATAAAGCAAGAGAGAAGAACAAATAAAGACTAGTATTAACAGCTGGATGTTATTCTTGACTTAAGACTAAATAGTTTAATGTTATTATTGGCTTAAAACCTAGTGAAAGTACTTCCGGTCCTATATAGTGAGGGGTCCTTGGTGGTCTCTGAGCTTGATTTTCTTGAAGACTTTTTATTAGCCAAACTAAATAACATCATCAGTGCCAATAAAGAGTGGGGTTTGCTCTCAGTTTATATTCTAGTGGCTTGCCTGTCAGTGTTGGTAGGAGTGGTCTTGGTGGTTCGTTGGCTAGGCCAGCGGTCCCCAACCCTGGCACAGGGCCACGGCATATCAGCAACTGGGGGCCCCTGGAGATTAATTATTAATTCCTTACTAGGATATATATGCTGCCCAAGGACTTGCTTGAAATATTACGAATGAGCACTATACAGAAATGGAAATTTACACAGATTTGAGCAACAGCCAGTGAAATAGATCATTTCAGTAAACTCCCTGCCTCCCAGAGATCATTCAAAGTGGCAAGGCTGTCAATACTTGGGATTTCATTTATTTACTCAGCCCTCAAGTTCCTAAACACCAACTAGATTCCTTCTTGTGCTAATGGAATGTTGCACTTCCATGCTGGTTTCACCGTCAACTGAGAGCTCAACTCAGCAAAGTCCTGCTTACCCGTCTGCATTCCAGGAGGAGCCAAACTATGCCATCCTTGAAGCATCCCCAAAATCCAGGATAGCAAAGTTGTACTCTCTCACAAGAAGACCCAGTCAGTGGTCATCCTTCTGCATCCTGCCCCCCCCCCCACCAGAGAGGTCAAGGTAGGAATCCCACAGAAGCCATCTCTTTCGGGAAAAGCAAAGCTTGATAGCCAGTGTGGCTGCCTCTTCTGGCATCCACCCAAATCAAAAGCAACAAACCACAAGCCTGGGGCACCCAGAAATAACAAATGAAATGGTTATGACAGTTTTTGAAAGTTTGCTTTTAACATAGAGCAGAACACATTCCATCAGGCTATTTGACGGTCCCAACAATGGGAGATGATTTTATATTGTTCAAGACTACTGCAGCATTAAGAAGAGGCTAGACTGTCACTTGTCTGAGTTGGTGTAGGTCAGGGATGTCAAACTCAATTTCACTGAGGGTAGCATAAGCATTGCAGTTGCCCTTGGGGGGGGGCTGGTGGGTATGGCCAGGGTGGATGCGGCCTACTGGGTGGGTGTGGAGGGAATGGGTGTGGCCTACTGGGTGGGCATGGCCAGCTCTATATTGTTTGCGTCAAGGGTGCCTGTGGGAGCCTGGGCAGGAGTGGGACAGACCTGAGGGTCTCTGGCAAAAGGGGGTGGGACCAGGGCAAGTGCCAAGGCATGGTCCACTGGAGGAGCCTCACTGTTCCTCTCAGGCCATGTGGGAGGGGGGGCTGGACAGTGGTGTGGGTTGCCTGGAGCCCTGGGCAGCAGAGGTCAAATGCCCAGCCTGGCCCCCAAGCACCCGTGGCGCTAAGCCCAGCCCCACTTCCCCAAGGGGGTGCCCAGCTGCACTTACCTCCTCCTCAAGGCTGCTGCTGCTGTGCTTGCTCTCCTTAGCCAGGTTGTTCATGATGGGTACCAGGGCAAAGTTAGAGGGAGACTGAATGTGTTTCAGCATAAATGGCCACCACAAAATTGTACATTGGCTCCCGGCCGGCCTGGGCCAGGGCCAAGGCAACGGGGGCCGTTCCCTCACTGTTTCCAGGATGGCTTCGCGGGCCACATGAAACCACTTGGCGGACTACATCCGGCCCCTGGGCCTTGTGTTTGACATGTCTGGTGTAGGTTTTCCTGCTTAAAGAGGGGTCTAGACTAGAAGACCTCCATTCCTTCCAGCTCTACTCTACGCTACTCTACTCTCTATTCTTTAAGAATATTTAAGAATAAATCAGATAATTGGACTGGTAACATCTGAGTTAACCAGAAGCTTTACTTGGCAGGAATAGGTGTTTCTGGCACTGCCCTATGAACAAAGTACTAAGAAGGTACTAAGAAGGTAGCAATCTTGTAACATTAACTGTTAAAGGAGACTCTAGTCTACAGGGAACATTTTCCCTTTCAGTTCTGCAGACCACCAGGATATAGATACTTGCTCTATTTTTAAAGTGGAATTTAAATCTTCCTCAATGTTCCTGCAGAGACTGAGGGATTGCTCTTGCAAACAGAGAAACAACCTATTCTAGTGTTGAATTTGCTTAGCTCCGAGGCAGATCACTGCTTATTCTAACACAATGTGAAAAATTGCTACCATTGCCAACATAATTACAGAATCTGAAACAACAGTGATACAAAGAAGGAGGGGAGTGTCAAGACTTCCAACTATATGTGGAAACTAAATTGCTCCCATAAGAATGTAGAATTTGCTTTGGGGGGGAAACATTCACAAATTCTTGTTAAAGCAGGAATCTTATCTGCAATGTCTCAGAAAATACCTGCTTAGGAAAATCACTTATATTCCTCCTCCCTTCGACCTACATGAGCTACTCAGTTATTTTGAGCCAGTGGATTTTATATCAATTTTTGAATACATAAATAAAGTTAACAGAGGCACTGCGTGGGGGAGGGTATGTTTGCTCATTCCATAAAATGTGTGTTGTAAAACATAACACCTGTCACAACTACCCATTTCTCAGAAAACAAATTCCTGAAGGCTTAATAAAATATATATTCCCCAAATATGTGTCCAAGGCAGAGATGAATCTCCAAAACACAATGTTACCCCTTTGAGCCAAGTTTTCTACTCCAAAATCCCATTTCACAAAAAAGTAAGTGGATGAACACAAAACAGATTTGTCCAAGAAACTAAATACCGTATATGCCGGCGTATAAGGCGACCTAGTGTATAAGACGACCCCCGTCTTCGGCGCCGAGTCGCATGCCTAGAAAGTCATCTTATACGCCAGAAACTACCAGTATTTCCGGCGTGTAAGACGACTCAGCGTATAAGACGACCCCCGACTTTGGCGCCGATTTTAACCCTTGAGAAAGTCGTCTTATATGCCGGAATATACGATATATGACTGACTGACTGACTGACTGGAGATTTCAACGCTGATTGCTAAATACATTGGTTCCTAAAAGCACACTCACTCTACAGAACACAAACTAATGACGATTACAGAATACAGGCAGTCCTCGTCTTGAGACCAGTTGAGCCAAAATATACGTTGCTAAGCTCAATTGCTAAGACGCAGTTGTTAAGTGAGTTTTGCCCCATTTTACGATCTGTTTTGGCACAGTTGTTAAGTGAATCACTGCAGTTGTTAAGCCAGTGACATGGTTGCTAAATGAATCTGACTTCCTCACTGGCTTTGCTTGTCAGAAGGTCACAAAAGCAGATCACATGACCCCGGGACACTGCAACGGTCATAAATATGAACCAGTTGCCAAGCTCTGAATTTTGATCACGTGACCACTGGGAAGCTGCAGCAGTCGTGTGCTGCAACAGTCGTAAGTGTGAAAAACAGTCGTAAGTCCCTTTTTTACCCCGATACAGGCAAAAAAAAATTACCTACACTAAGACCACTATGGCTATGCTGTGCTTTTCTTTCAAAGAGAATTTGGAGTGTGTGGAGACACTGAAATAGCCAGAGAGAGAGAAAGAGAGAAAATAGAGACACGAGAAGTAGACACGAGAAAAAAAAATAAGAGTGGAAAGCTTAATGGAAGGAAACACAGGAGTGCATCATACAGGAGTCCCAATTTTCATGTAAGATACACTGAAGTTGAACATTAATCAAGCTGAAAATAACATATCCTTACTGTACAAAGTGAGCTAGACAGTAAATTAACTCTAGGGAGTTACACTTCTCCTCTTAGGAGTGCTTTTCTACCTAAGGTCATAAGCCAAATAAATGTCAGGCAGTTCATGTTACATTGACACAAGATTAGCTTAAAGGCAGGCAGTTTTTAGTTTCAGTGTGTTTACGTAATTGTACTATGTACCACCTACCAGCATCGAAAAGAGCGTCCTATAATGCAAAATCCTACTTGCTATCTCTTTCAAATCTTAAAGCACACCTTTGTTACAGCTTCCAGTTTTTCAAAAGAGCCACTCTGACAGGCACTTAGCAATCCATCCAATATTTCTTTGGGGACAACCTAGAATATAAAGTTGTAGTAATAAACATAGATACATTGTCCATCTGATATCACACAAAACCTTTTCTTTTTATGTTAATCACCACGACAATAAGAAAATACAGCTACACAGGGAAAAATCCTTAGGTCACAAGCAGTTTAGTCTTTTCTCCCCAGGTTTTTCCAAGCAATGTTAGGCAGAAGAGGGGGAAAAAAGTAACAGTAAGACAAAGGCATGATCTTAAGAGAAAAAGAAAAGGGAATCATGGTTAAATCTACTTTATACCAAACCATTCACTTTATCCATATTTTTTCTATTCTTCTTCATCCTTGCTTCCAGCATATACACAGACCACTGTACCATACCCTGCCTTCTCTACTTGGTGACTCACACTTGTATTCAATTCACATACATTCGTCACCTAGCCATACTTGATGCTGCATCTTCTAGCTCAGTAATGGTGAACCTTTTAGAGACCGAGTGCCCAAACTGCAACCCAAAACCCACTTATTTATTGCCGGGGGCCAGGTGGGTGTGGCCCACTGATTGGGCGTGGCTGTGGTGGTCATGGCAGACTGGGTGGGTGTGGCCAAGCTGGGCCCTCCCCTCGATGTTGCTCGAGGGAAGGGACGCCTGTGGGGGCTGGGCAGGGTTGGGGGAGATCCAGCAGGTCTCTGGCAGGTGGGATGGTGGGTAGAAGGCTAGTCCTGCGGGGTGAGGCGAGGCAGGGTGGGGGTGCGAAGCCCTACCACATTCATGCCATCTCAGGGCAAGGCAAGGCAGGGGCCGGGGCAGCTGCTGCCTGACACCATTGGCCCCCGCACACAGAGGCCACCGAGCGCATGGGGGCCGACAGTGTCAGTCAGCAGCCACAGCCTGCCGGCCCCTCGACCGGCACACTCTGGGGCTCTGCAGCCCGCCACCAGCAGTTCAGAGAAGTGCCCACAGAGAGGACTGAGTGCCGCCTCTGGCACGCGTGCCATAGGTTCGCCACCACTGTTCTAGCTTATGCTACACCAATATTTGTAACATTTATCTCAATTTCATCTTCAACCTACCACGAACATTCCTATACAGTTGATAACGTGACCAGCACCATTCGAGCCACAGTGGCACAGTGCTTCGAATGCAGTACTGCAGGCTGCTTCTGCTGACTCAGCCTTCCATCCTTCCGAGATTGGTAAAATGAGGACCCAGATTGTTGGGGGCAAATAGGCTGACTCTGTAAACTGCTCAGAGAAGGCTGTAAAGCACTGTGAAACGGTATATAAGTCTAAGCACTATTGCTATTCTGTTACAACAGTGCTGAATAAGGGGTACTTACAACTGGTCCTTGAATTTCTGGCTATCCCAGCACCCTTGCTGTCATGTGATTGTGACTGGGCAACTGCCTCACAATTATGACAAAGTGTCACATGTAAGTGATTACCATTTGCAATCTTTCCTGCCAGATTCCACAAGCAAAATCAATGGGGAAGCTAGCAGGGAAGACTGCAAATCACTCTGGTAAGTCTTCTGCACCTGCCACACTTATGCAGGCCTTCATACCCCCTCCAGTAGCAGCAACCCAAGCCCCGCCCCACTGCTTCTGCCCTGCCTACACCCTCCTGGGCCCTGAAGCAGCGAAGCCCTACCACATTCATGCCATACTGATCACCCACACACTCCCAATTTTCTATATATCCACGTTATTGGATATGTACAAAAGGACCTGGCTGAAGCATTAAACATTAAACAGGAAATACAAGTCATAAATCAAAAGAATGACCTAAAAAGTGATTTTTTGGCAGATCTACAAGAGATTTTTTTTTAAACCTTGAAGTAATTGGTATGAAAGAATAAAGAAGAATTGAAGAGAAATTCAATCTTATGACAATATTTGATTAAGGATTAAGCCTGCTTGAAATAAAAGAATTTGTTTATACTTCTGATGAAGGTAGGAAACCACTTCTTCATATTAATTCTTTTCTTCTTCTTTATTCGGTATTCTTCTTTCTTGCATTTTTTTCCTATTCTTTTTCTCTAAGTTTAGTTCACATTAGATTTTACCACTACAATTAAAATTCTTAATACAAATAATAGCAAGATAAAAATGTATCTCTCCCACATGAAACTCTCAGAGCATTATTCTAGGCAAGTCTTTAACAGTATGTGTGCAGCTTCTGAAGCCATGTCTTTAATGAAAAATCATAATTTTCAATCATCACTTTTACGACAGCAAATACATCATCTCGAAACAAGGCTTACCCCTGCAATTTCAATAACAATTTCCTCTGTCACTTCTTTTCCGCCTGTCAGTCGTGTCGCACTCTGAAGAAGCGTGATTGCTTTTCTCAAATCTCCTTCTGCCACACGAACAAGGTAATCGATTGCCTACATAACACAATAAATATTTAAAATAAAAGAAACCCCAAAGAAATCATACGGAGAAAAGGGAAACAGTGAATACCATTTTGCAAAGCACACTTTTTATCACATTATACTAAATTTGGAGCTTGTTAATAATCTGTGGTGGAACCAGGATGGGAGTGGAACTTCCATGGTTATTCTCCTTGATGTCTAACAACTTTTGAAATCGCCAGTCGTGGTATCCTTTTGGGATAGCTCATAAGACTAGGGTTAGGAATAAACCACAGTTTTATGGAGGTTTTCCTTCCTTTGGAGTCAGTTTCAGTTAGTCAGGTGGGACTGTTGAGGTTGTCTGGAGACAGTGCAGGTTTGGTGGGGGAGGAACCATCAACTCAATCCTACCAAGATTGAGTGACTGTGGATGTTTGGGCCACCTAGATTTGGGGATATTCTATTTTTAACCTTAGATGGCAGAATAAATCCACATTCGAAAGTGATGCACACTTCAGGAGTCTTCCTACACTATCAGCTCCTGCTCAATCAGCAGGTGGAAGCTGTACCAAGGAAGGCCTTTGCGCAGCTTCATCAGGTACACCTGTATTGTCCTTTCCTAAATCAAGAGGCACTTCAGGCAGTCAACTCATGCTCTGGTCATCTCACAGCTTGACTACTGCAATGCACGCTGCAGGGGGCTGTGCTTCAAGATCACCTGGAAGCTTCAACTAGCCCAGAATGAAGCTACATAGGCAGTGATGGACGTATTTCAGTATGTCCATGTAATACTTCTGCTTCACGAGCTGAACTGGTTTCCAGGTTGGCTTCCAGGTGCAATTCTAAGTACTAGATATTACCTATAAAGTCCTACATAGAATAGGGACTGGTTACTTTATGAATTGCCTATTTCCTGTGGTGTCTGGTTGATTCCAACAGTTGGCATGCTCCAAACTCCTTTGAGACACAATCCATCTATCAGGACCCTGGAAGTATGCCTTCTTTGATTCAGTGTTTGCCCACTGAAGAGAGGTTCCCCTTGAGATCCAGGTGCTTACCACCCTGATGGCATTCTGGTGGGTCTTAAAAGACTTGACTGATGTCCCAGGCTTTGGGCTAAGGTTTGGCGTCCCTTATGGGTGTGTGATATGTTTGTTTGACTGGATCTTCCTTCAGCTTATTGCTGTTTTTAATCTGGATTGTATATTTGTTGTTGTTTTTAGGCAGGTAGGCAGGCAGGCAGGCAGGCAGGCAGGCAGGCAGGAAGGAAGGAAGGAAGGAAGGAAGGAAGGAAGGAAGGAAGGAAGGAAGGAAGGAAGGAAGGAAGGAAGGAAAGGTTTCATTTATGGTTAGCCACAGATAATTCAATCCTCATTAATGCAGGTAATGCATTTCTTTCGGAAGTATGGGTGGAGAGGGCATGTTAAACTTCTATTGAACTTTGGTGACTGGAGTGTGAAGTCCAAATGTTTATGTACAATCTCCAAGTATTACATTTAAGCTCATCTTCCTAATCCTGGCTATTTGGAATTAGTATCAATGAAATTAGAGGTCCCGTTTTGGAAAGGTTATTCTAAGTCTGCTTCTCAGATGAAGGAACATACAATTAAACTTTATAAGCTGTATTTAATACAGCAGAGGTTTCTTTTCCCCTGTCCAAGGGGATCCTCCAGTACTGTGCTGCAGCTCTAAGCTGTGTGCAGGAACCTTTGGGAGGACAGGATATTCCATTCACAAACGTTACCTATTCTACTGGCAAAAAAAACCATTAATGAATAAAACCTTTTTGTTCACAATATTAAGACAAAGAATTTTATAATTAACTGGCATGTTACCTCATTGCTGATTATCACATTTTCCTTTTTAGCAATGTCTAGAAGTCTCTGGCATTGGATTTTGTCAGAAAGTGGCTTGAAACGAAATTTGGAGCATCGAGATGTAATTGGTTCAATGATTCTATCAAAGACAGGAAGAGAAACTCAGCAATTGGAGGACTCTGTTCTTATTTTCATGCAAGAGAGTGTCTTTCCACAACCTACGAAGGTTTCCCCGCCCAGTCGTGTCTGACTCTAGGGCACAGTGTTCATCTCTGTTTCTTAGTCAAGGGAGCCAGCATTGTCCAAAGACATTTTTTGTGGTCATGTGTCCAGCAAGATTATACAGCAAAGGCGCAGGGAACACTGTTACCTTCCCACCAAAGTGGTACCTGTTTATCTACATACATTTGCTTGCTCTCAAACTGCTAAGTTGGCAGGATATACATTTTCACGTATTAGCATTGTTATCACACTCATTTTTTTCCCGACAGTAGAACATAATTGTCTTTAAAATTCAAATGCATTCTTTGAGATAACCAAGTATAGACTCAGAATTTATGAATGGTCACATCTGGTTATTATCTGGATGGGAAAACACCAGGAAATCCCAGGGCTGAAGGCTAGAGTGGGAGGCTGAAAAATTAGCCAAAAATAGACTGAGTTATAAAAACATCTATAACATTCCCCAGAAAAATCTCAGCAATATACCCATGATGCTACCAAGAGATGAGTGGACTCAAAGGTGTATTTATCTAGTGTATTTTTCGTAAGAGTAAATAAATACAAACACACGCTGTAATTTATACACACCGGCTGATGTAATTACAGATAAGGCAGAATCGTGTGGTCTTAGATTCCTTCTCCATGGTGCGCCTTAAAGCTGCTTGAGCTGCCGAGGTCATAGAATCTGCCTCATCCAGGATTATGATCTTAAAAGGCGGGCATGGTCTGCCGCTAAACACAAACAATCACAAAAGCACGTGTGAGTCATTTATGGTGCTAGCACAAGCATTGCTGTCAACAGTCTACTGGCAAACACATTCTGACGTAAACATTGCTTACCATTCAGAGCCTACAGTGGGAAAAATTCTAAATTGAAACTTTCCCCATTCTGTTCCCCAACTTAACTAAATATTGTTGCACTGTGGAACTGTCTCACTGTTATTTGAAAGAGGCCACATTATTTTCTGCTAGAGCTTTTATTTCCCATGGATTCCTTTATGGAAAGTGTTGGCATTCACACACTGCAGGTATTTTTGTGACTTCCCCAAATTTGTCCATGCTTAACAAGGCCACAGTTTCGGGCCTTTTAGGAGGTAAGTTTAAGGGCAACATCTGATCCTTGAGCTTTACAGAAGCATAAGGCATCAATTTCACCTTTCAAAGGGGGATTTAAGAATCCAAAGGAATGTGATTTTAGCTAAAGTAGTTGTCTCTAAATCCCAGAAAAAAAAAGGAAAAAACCGGCAGGAAAAAACAGGCCAAATACTTTTCCTGCTTTAAATTTTCCATATGGCTTGTATCTCTCCTTTCTGCCTTAGTGTATTCAAAAGAGAATCAAAAAATTAATCTATTTCTTACCAAATTCTGATCAATAGAGTGCAAGAGAGATTACCCAAAGGGATAGTTAAAGCTATTTCAATTAACTGGAGGACTTAATTTAAGTATTTTAATAAATTACATTACATTTCACAGTGCCTACACATGGTCTATCGGAGACATTAGCAAAGATATGTAGTTAGTGAATGATAAATTTCCTAAGATTATACATAAAGTTCAGATGACTCACTAAGACATCATTTGAGAGCCTCATAGTGCAGTGCTGACTCGTAGCTTATTTTAGCATTACAAAGCAACTCATCTTAACCTGGAATAGAGTGAAATACTATCCGAGAGCGCTTACTCTGAACGATTTCCCGAAACTGTTAATTGAGCAAAAGTCTTGACTTTCTCTCGAATGACTTGTATTCCACGTTCATCAGATGCATTTAATTCAAGGACTCTCTGCCGGAACAATTCAGGACTATTTAAAACAAAAGAAATGTAAACATCTTTTAATAAATTTCTTAAGAAGAACTGCTAATCCTGGTTCACATTTTGAATTCTAATACAGTCAACCGCTATAGCATCCTTTCTGTAGAGTACAGGGACACAACTTTTATGTAAACATTAGTTTAGCCTGGATAGAGGGGAGGGAGTGAAGAAAAAAACTGAGGATTGTCCCATTTTTATTCTCTTTAGGGGGAAGAGAGAGAATCTGTCCTACTTTCAAGATTCTGTTACTGCATTCTATAATAATAGAAGAAGTAATAGAAAATGAAGAAGCTAAATTGCTCTGGGACTTTAGAATTCAGAAAGACAAGTACCTGCTACATAAAACTCCAACAACTGTTGATAAGAAAGAAAAAAAGACTAGACAGTGGGCATGGCAGTACTTGGAGACAGCAGAAGAGAAGAGAAAGAATTAGAGAAGATAACAAAATACAAAGACCTGCAAATAGAAACAGAATGACTGTGACAAAAGAAAACAAAGGTAGTAGCAATAGTAATAGACATTTTGGGTGCAATCCCAAAACATCTGGAGCACAACTTGAACACCATTGGCACTGACAAAATCACCATCAATCAATTGCAAAAGGCAATTTTACTTGGAACAGCTTACATCCTGCGATGATACCATTAACACCATGAAACATCCACATCTGCCTATCCTAGGTCCTTGGGAAGGATTTGATAGATGGATAAAAATGCCAAATGTAGTCTGAACATCTATCTGAGATGAACCATAACAATAAAAGAATTCCAATGTTCAAGCAGTGTCTGTTTCGCAAGCTGGTCTATCTTGAAGAGCTGACACTTCCCCATTATAGTGCCTTCCAGATGCATTGGGATTCAAATGCCCAGATTTTCCCAGGGGGCAAGGCTTCTGACTGAAATTCTGGAATTTGCAGTCCTACTACATCTAGAAGCTCAAGTTGTGGAAAGCTCAATTACAAGAATGTAAATTTTAGTTGACAACAGTTAGCATCAAAATACTTTTCTGCTCATTTCAAATCAAACCTAGTTTTGGGTTACTTCTGGATCAACTTAATGCCCAGAAATATATCAAGGGCTCTGTAGATACCACCCTTAATGCTCCCCTGATTTTATTAGTTATTTGGAATCTTTAATGAAAATAATACACGGGGAGCCATCATTCCCCAAATAAATAATCAAATTCAAGCCTAATCTAAATTTCCAACAATGCTTTGGGGATTCATACAGACTTCATGGGATTTAAAAAATAAAATAGGGGTGGTTCTTTGGAAATGTGCCCTAGGAAAAAAGATGGAAGTGATAGAGATCATCCTGGTGGACTAGAGAATCTGGTGAGAAGCAAACTGATCACCCTGCCTTTTGATAAAGCAGAATCTCTTATGCTCAGCAAGGCAGTTATTTCACAAGGCTGCTAAAATAGGGTCTCAAAATTCCAAATCTGCCTACTACAATAACTTGCAGCATTTAATCCTGCCTGTTAAATTCACACTCCCTTGTATGTTTCTGAAACAGGACAGAGAAACATGTTTTGGACAACATATCCCATTTTCCCTGGAGATTTGACACACAGGTTGGGGTTGATGATACTGGAATCCAAAACAATGTGTGGTAACTTTCCCATCACTGTCCTAGATATTGTATTTGCACCCATGTCCACATTTAGGAATTCTTCATTCTTCAGCTGGCCAACAATCCGCATCACAAACATACACTATCTATTTTATTCTTTATTCTGAACAGGACCCATTCTTACTGTGCTATAAAATTTCAAGATGTTCATGCCAGAAACACTAATGAGTAGAACAACGCATGTATAGAGTCAAATTCAATTTCACTGAACTCCATATTACCCAAAGAGTTCTCTAGCTGCTGCCAAAATAGTAGATGTTTTCCCAGTTCCAGGAGGGCCATAGAACAAAAGGTTGGGAAGCTACAACAGAAAGAAATTTTAAAAATATGATATTTAGTAAATACATACTTTCTTATTTTTCAAACAACCACAATTATAAGAAAAAATATTATTAGAGAGGGAAAAAATTCTGCAACTTGTATGTATATTTTCTCTACCTGCTGTTGCTATGTTCTATTTCAGGGGTCTTCAAACTTGGCCCTTTTATGACTTGTGGACTTCAACTCCCAGAATTCCTCAGCCAGCGTGCCTGGCTGAGGAATTCTGGGAGTTGAAGTCCACAAGTCATAAAAGGGCCAAGTTCGAAGACCCCTGTTCTAAACTTACTGAAAAGAAAGGCCAGTGGGTTTAACAGAACTTAATTCCAGGGAAATGTATAAAAGAATTGCAGAATTAATGGCCATATTTAAACAGGGCTGTAATATGACCCATCTATGATATTGTATTCTTTCCAACAATGAAATTAATGTACTTGCAGGCAGCTTATTCAGATTCAGAAAAGATTAGAAATACATGGAAATTTATAAATTACAATTCACACGGTAAAACTATGTTAGAGAACTATGGAATCTACATAGAAAGTACATTCCAACAAAATAGAGATGCAGTTATTCAAACATGTCTGAATATTGAAAGCAAGGCATTTAAGATAATGGTGAAGACTCAAATAAATATTGTAGGTTTGTGTTTAATGGTCTTTTCTTTGAGCAGATACCTATATAGTACCAAAGGGAGCTTTCAAAACCCCACCATGTTAACAAAAAAGACAAAAACAAAAAAACCTTAGTATTTTGTAGAAGATACTAGAACCAGAAACCTTCCAACATGCAGAGCAAGTTGCTTAGTTCTTTTTTCAATCTGAGCCAGTAAGATTTTTTCAAATAATTAATATTCTTAGGGAGAAGCAACAGCATTTTTTAAAATTATTGATATATATAATTTACAATTATTCTAAGTTGCTTTGTAAAGAAAAGTATTAAGAAACATAAAGAGGGACATAAGACATCATTAACAGCAGAAGCTATAAGCCACTCCAATAAAGTAGATTGCAAAGTATATTTAGAAATTTAACTGCTGCAAATTTTAATACCTTGCAATATGTAAACCAAGCTTTTAAGAAGTACAGTGTTTATTTAGTGATCAAAGTTACAACAGCACTGAAAAAAGTAGATTAAGACCATTTTTTCACATTTATAACTGTTGCAGCATCCCTGTGGTCATATAATCAAAATTCAGACACTTGGCAACTGCTGCTGCATATTTATGACAGTTGCAGTGTGCCAGGGTCATGTGATCACCTTTTGCAACCTTCTAACAAGCAAAGTTAATGGGGAAGCCAGAGTCACTTAACAACCATGTTATTAACTTAACAACTGCAGTGATTCACTTAATAACTGTGGCAAGAAAGGTCATAAAATGGAGCAAAACTCATTAACAACTGTCTTGCTCAGCAACAGAAATTTTGGGCTCAATTGTGGTCCTAAGTCAAGGACTACTTGTACTATCAAATGGCACATGCAATATCAATGGCAGTAGTAACTACAGTATGATAAAAACATTGCTGCTTTAATATTCAGGAAGCTGGCTCCTTTATTCACAATAAGCGTCTTTCAAGAGTTAAGGGTATACTTGAATTTTTTTTTTTTTTTTTTTTTATTGAAATTTTTCAAAAGTTTTACAAATAAAAATCCACCCCCCCCTCCCCAACCACCCCACCCCCCCCCCCGACTTCCCAGAACTGAATATAGGATTATTTAACAAATATTTTAAAAATAACATTTGCAATTTATAAAATAATTAATAATAATAATAAAAATCACAATAATAATATATATAATAATAATATAGATAACATAAACTTTAAAATGAATAATATATACTAAAAAAGAAAAAAAAAAAAATAAAAAGAGAAAAGAGAGAGAGAAAGAAGAAAGAAGAAAGTAGACGAAAAATAAAGCATATATATATATATATAAAAAAAATATATGAATAATAATACATAAAAAATGTATATATATAAAAAAGAAAAAGAAGAAAGAAAGAAAGAAAAAACAATCATTACAAATTATAAAAAGGCTAAATAATATTTTTCCATATCCAAATTATGTTGTATAAAATTTATCCATTTTTCCCATACCGCAAAAAATTTTTCTTGAGATTGCTCCTTTAAGAAAGCCGAAATCTTTGCCATTTCTGCCAAATACGAAACTTTATGAAACCATTCTTGTAAAGTAGGCAAAGATTCCTTCTTCCAATATTGTCCTATTAACAACCTAGCGGCTGTAATCAAATTTAACATCAATATAACCTCCTTAGCATCACAGTCAATAACAATACCTAGTAAAAATAATTGCGGAGTAAATTTTACCCTCCTTTTAAAAATTCTTTGAATATTCCACCATATCTTAATCCAAAAAGCTTTTATATGCTTACACGTCCACCAAATATGGTAATAGGTAGCATCCAAATATCCACATCTCCAGCATTTCGGCTGTAGATTAGGGTACATAATGGACATTTTCTTTGGGTCAAGGTGCCATCTATAAAACATCTTATAAAAATTCTCTCTTAAATTTTGCGCTTGTGTGAATTTAACATTTCTTATCCAAATAAGTTCCCAAATATCCATTGAAATCGTTTCACCAATATTCTGTGCCCATTTAATCATACAATCTTTAACTAGTTCAAGTTCTGAATCTAATTCCACTAAAACCCCATAAACTCTCTTAATATGGGTTGGCCTTTGATCTCTTACTTGTTTTAAAAAAATTTCATCTTCTCTAAGCCAGCCCATTTTACAATCCATCTTCCATCTATCCACTATTTGTCTATATTGGAACCATGAATAAGTTAAGTTTTCATGTGTTAATTCTTCCAAAGATTTTAACTGCCAGTCTTGGCCATCCCATCTTAATAACTGTACGTAAGAGACCTTGTCCATATTTACCCCTTTCCTTATACCTTCTATGGCATGCCGAGGTATAGCCCATAATGGTATTTTGAAGTCACTTTTATAATACTTTCTCCACACTCTTAGCAAAGAGTTTCTTATAATATGAGACTTAAAAACCCAATCCACTTTTTTATTAAATATTAAATAGGCATGCCATCCAAAAAATAGGTCCCAACCTTCCAAATGAAGTATTTCTGTATTTGTTAAATTCACCCAGTCGCTAATCAATGTCAATACTACAGCATCATAATACAATTTCATATTTGGTACCTTGAGTCCACCTCTCTCACGAAAATCTTGCATTATTTTAAGTTTCACCCTTGGTTTTTTCCCTGCCCAAACAAATTTATTAATACCTTTTTGCCATTCATCTAAATTACGTTCGTTCTTTAAGATAGGTAACATTTGAAACAAAAAAATAAACTTTGGCAGGACATTCATTTTAATAACTGCAATTCTGCAGGGTATACTTGAATTTTGATATTAGTTGTAAGCCAATGAAGAGCGGGCAATGGTACAAATTTTTCCCATTTTCATTTAATTTCCACATGAAATAATTATTTTAATGACTGCAGCACTCACATCAACTCCCTGTAAGGATTTCTTCAATACTGCCACAACTTCCTCTTGAAACGCAACATCATCCATGCATTTTGGACGGCTAGATGTTTAAAAATGAACACACCATTAAATGCTGTACTAATTACTCTTTAGAAATCAAAAGGAATATTACGATTATAGTATCATCAGTGCTCTATCACTGGAGATTTTCAAGAAAAGATTAGATAGCCATTTGTCTGAAATGGTACAGGGCAGGGGTAGGCAACCCTGGCTCTTTTATGACTCATGGCCTTCAACTCCCAGAATTCCTGAGCCAGCCATGCTGAGAGGAAAGGGAGAGGTTTCCCCTCACTATGGCTAACTCAGGAATTCTGGGAGTTGAAGTCCATGAGTCATAAAAGCCAAGGTTGCCTACCCCTGGTACAGGGTCTCCTGCTTAAGCAGGGGGTTAGACTAGAAGACCTCCAAGGTCCCTTCCAACTCTTATCCTTTAGCTCAAAAAGCTTTGCACCTCTTTTATTGTTTAGAAGTGTGAACATGTAGTTGCCACAATAACAGAATCTAAATTCCAAATATTAATGGTCTTAATAAGATGAAGGCAATCAATGATACATTATTCAAAGAAAAAAAATCAAAATTATACAAATATATAACTATTGTGTTATAGTTACTGAGCGTCCATATAATCTTTTCCAATCTCCTTAAGTGGTCCAGTGAGCACATATGGTAGTGTCATTTCAAGTAATGACTGAAATAATGCAAGAGTCTAAATATATTTTAAAAAATTATTCCTATGAGATGAAGTGAAACAGAACATTGTACTGTACCGGCTCTATTTCAGGGCTTATATTTTCTGTTGAACAGTAACATTAGAAATAAATGAACACAAAGCACCAGAGCAGATCAAAGCAGATCATTGCAGGCTTTCATTTTTTCACAAAGTCCCGTATAGTCTTCTGCAAGCAGCTCCACCTGCACCCCATTGTATATTGGTCCTTCCTTAGCTATCTTAATTTTAATGGTAATACTGGTTTAATGATATTATATTATCATTTTTATCTTATGGTTAGCTTCCTAGAGTCACTTGATGGTGAAATGAATAGCATATACTTTTAATAAATAAACTCCCCTAACAATAAAAACATGGGCCAAACTTACTTTGGACTAGCATGAATATCCTTGTCAATAAGTATGCAGTCCAATTAAATGCAGAAGATCAATGAAAGACAGACACAGAAAAAGCAGACAGATCTGGTGGTTACAATCAAAAAGCTCTTTGTAACACCTCCTGGACAAGACATCCTCATTCCCCAGGAGTTCCAGTCTACACATTCATCCTCAGTGATTACATTACTCAGATTCCAAACCAGAGCAAAATTCTTACTATTTTTCAACCCAAGGACTGGGTCTGGGTTTCTTGCTCTCCCCACTGCTTCCTGCAGTTGCAGGGGCTCCCCGTTCTTTAGTAGAGAGAGGTTTAGCACTGACTGGACCTTTCAAAAATGCCTGCATTGTTGCTTTTTTTCACCGTAGCAACCTGTAATGGGAGGAATGGAAAAGGATTATTTATTTATTTATTTATTTATTTATGAGACTTATATACCGCTTTAAGTGCGAGCACTCTCTAAGCGGTGTACACCAGTAAGCAATGTATGTGTATGTGTATATGTATATAAATATATATATATATATATATATATTTTTACATTGCCCCCAACAATCTGGGTCCTCATTTTACCTACCCCGGAAGGATGGAAGGCTGAGTCAACCTTGAGCCGGTGAGATTTGAACCGCTGACCTGCTGAACACAGTCAGCTAAAGTGGCCTGCAGTACTGCACTCTAACTGCTGCGCCACATGTATTACTGGTCTGCCTTGAAAAATTATAGTATAAGTAATCTTCAACTTACAATCGCAATTGGGACCAGAATTTCCGTTGCTAAGCAAAGCCTTGTTTAAGTGAGTCACACCTGATTTTACTACTTTTGCTACAGATGTTATGAGAATCACTGTAGTTGTTAAGTGAATCACACAGTCATTAAGCAAATCCAGCTTCCGCCATTGACCTTGCTTGTCGGAAGTTGCTGGGAAAGTTGCAAATGGAGATTATCTGATAATGGGATGGTACAACCATCATAAATGTATGCTGGTTGCCCAGCCCCCAAATTTTGTTCATGGAGATGGGGTAACAGTTGTGCGAGGACTGGTCATAAATCATTTTTTTCAGGGCTACTGTAACTTTGAATGGTTACTAAACTAATGGTTTTAAGTCAAGGACTACCTGCATTACAACTGCTCTTGTAACACAATGGTTCCATTTTACTCAGTGTACTCAACAACTGTCCAAGACCTTTGGGGAATCACATTCATTATCCAGCAAGAGAGATCAGTGTCTACTATTCTATATTCTAATACACATTTAGAGAACAATAGGCCATGCATTTGACAGGCAATTACCATCACACACTGAGAACTTTTAAAGAAAAATACACAGAACCCCAAGATATGAACCCAAAGACATATGTAACTCAACCAGCTTGTTTTCACTCTGTTCAAATACATACCGTAGTAGGAGGCAAACCGTGTTAGTGTATAGTAGCCAAAAATCCAAAATATGGTAGCACTTTTCCTGACTAATAAACGTTATTAACAGACATGAGGCGGGTATGTGTGTTGCAGCTCACTTCATCAGATTGATGGAGTGGGTAACTCATGTAAGGTTTAAAAGGGGAAGAAGTGGGAAAAGACAAGATAGCTTAGGCCAGTGGTTCTCAACCTTTTTAATGCCGTGACCCCCCAACTGGTCGTAAGTCAAGGACTACTCAACCGGTCGTAAGTCGAGGACTACTCAACTGGTGCAGCACCGTTTGCAGAATGGGACTTTTGGCGGGCTCAGCAGGGCAGAGACAGCCTGGACAATTCCTATTGGCTTTTGAAAGCCAATAGAATTAGACTCTATTCAAGAGAGTCTATTCTATTGGCTTTCAAAAGCCAATAGAATAAAAGGGAGTAGCACAGCTAAGAAAAAGGGGGAAAAAATGGCGGACTGCGTTGTTTGGCGACCCCCGTGAAATGGTCGTTCCACCCCAAATGGGGTCCCGACCCACAGGTTGAGAACCACTGGTTTAGGCAGATGCAGATTATATGTGAGACAGATCTGGAGTAATTTATCCATGAACAATCGCAACACATTGAAACATCCATTATGTTTGTTGAAACCTTTTGAAACTGGCTGAATTCTTCTAGGTTCAGCAACATCTCCCTCCTTGACGCAGTCGAAGTGTCTTTTTTCCAAAATGGTCGCTTGAAATCTGCACCAGGAGGGACTTCAAGAGGGTAAAAGCAGGGCAAATGAAGTCACTTTGGGCAATTACCTCTGCCTGTAAACCCGTGCAGCTCACAAAGTCCGTCAGAAAAGGTGCTACCGGTTTCATCCTGGTCTCTCACTCGGTCTCCTAACAGAACAAACGCGTCTTATGCTTTCCCACCTGTCTCTATTTAATCAAAAGGCCTGTTCACACAACCGGCCAGTGGGGCTGAGTACCTCGTGGCCTTCTTCCTAACCACTTGTGTGAACCAGCTACCATTAAGGCTTCGCAGAATCCCCCCCCCCCTACGTTGCACCGTGAACCCGTGTACCGTATTGTGTGAACGAGTCCTTCTCCAGAGACTCCCAACTTCTCTGGAAGGACAGAAGGGGCGGGGCGGGGGCGGAGCCACCCCAAAGAACAGGCCCAGAGACAGAGAGTGGTCGAGTCCACAGCGGTGGGCCCGTTTCTAATTTAAAATTGCATGCGGGGAAGACAAAATACCGGAGCCCATCGTCCGCAGCCGCTTCCCGAGAACCACTTCCGAATCTTTCGCGGATTCTCCCTCAGCGCGCCTTACCTTTCAATTCCCGCCAAAACCAGTCTTTATCCTCGCCCCAAAGGCGGGGCCAACTCCGGAAGGATACGAGGCACTCTAAGGGAGCTAGCGCACCATAGAGAACGCCCTGTGGGCCGGACTGAAACCAGAAGCTAGCCTCCTGACGTATCACGCCATAAATTATGTCATCTACTGCACTGACGTCACCTAGAAAAAAAAACCAGGCCCGGTTTACAATCTAGAGGTGCGCATGCGTGGAACTGCAGCTCCTCCCTCCTCCCGTTAGGACACAGGTGCGAGTCACCAAAGGTCATATGCGAGAGATGCGCAAGCGCACTTTCGTCTCCGCCGTCTTGTATTAGTGATGTCAGGCTTCCCGCAAAAAAAAAAAAAAAAAAGAGCAAAACCGGTGTTGAGCAAGCGTACTGAGGGCTTTCGGGTTGTGGCTTCTACCATTCCTACGAAGCGTGATGTTGTCTTGCATATTTGCCAGAACTCAAATGTGCAGTTTCTCAAGGAACTTTAGCACACATATATGCAAGAACTATATACACCCACGCAGTGACATCCACCTGTCTTAAAGCAAACCCAATATCACTGGAAGCTTCTCCGCTATAGCTTTGCACGAAATCATACATTATAAATTATATTCATTTAGGCAGCACTTGATTTAATTTATTAATAAATAAAGAGTCTCAATTTATTTAACAAGACCAATGGATGCAAAATGACCTTTACTCAGAAAACATTACGTTAACAGTAATGGCCAAAATTGTGGAAACCTTTTGGGAAAAGCGTACAATAGAAATGCCACCTTTGGTTAAGTTTCCACCAATTTTTCTTCTAGTTTCTTTATAACTGTAGCTTTGTTCACTTAATAATACTATTTTACATCGCTTTCTGGGCAGCCAGTCAATTCTTTGCATCATTACTTTAATTTTATTACATTTCACTAAATGAAAGAAAAAAAAACCCAACCAATCTGATAGCAATCACATAACACATTGACAAATGTCCTCCTCTCAGCTTCAATACATGACATCAATAATTGAATCCTACTGTGATCTGATTGGCTCATTGCCAAAACAAGATGACAGCTGATTGGCTCTCTAAACACTCACACTCATTGGCTACAATCAGATGAAGGAAAGCTACCTGATATCAACCTAAGCAAGTTGTGCTTCCTTTTTCTGGTTATTTGGCTATAACTTTTCACAGAATACAGTACAGATAATTGAACAAACTATGTTGCATTACATTCTTGATTAAATTATCTTTCCATTGATATATAATTTTATGGTACTACTCCAAAAAAAAGTGGTATTAGACATCAAAGCTCAAAAATACACTTTTCCCAAAAGGTTTCCACAATTTTGGCCACTACTGTACACTGGTTTTATATATCTTATGCTAAAGGTTAGATAAAAGACCTTGTGGCTATTACACATCCACTATAATGACCTCGATTACAGTCAGTGCTTTTTTTGTAAAAAAAAAAAAGGTGCCGGAACTCACACAGATCATACAACCCGCCTTGCCTACCCTACAAGGTTCCATCCAAAAAAGGTGGCGGAACTCTATGACAAAAAAAGTCCTGATTTACAGTTAACCTTAGCTTTTGTAGCTTGACATGCGCTAATTTATATACATGTCCTAATGTATATAAAAACTACATACATCTTTACAAACCATATAGAAACTTTTGTCAGTTTATGATTGGGCACACTGGGCAAACCCAGAAAATGGATTAATCCTCAAAGCAATATACAATATATAAAATATGAAGTAATATTGAAATAATGAAAGCAATATTGACTAAACAGAATAGTTAAATTGAAATTAGGAACAGCAATAATTGGGCAAATGTTGTATAGAGAAGATCCACCTTCTGGGACATTAAGAGGGATGATACAAGCCATCATTCCAAGGGAAATTGACCAGAACAATAGAGCAGCTTTAAGATGTGGATTTAAATCTCCAGAAATCTTACTCCCACACATCTTAAAGCTGTTGAAATTGAGAAAAACAGAGCCCCCCCTCCGAAAAAAGAAAATGGACTGCAGCCTTTTAGACCAATTGCAGTTTTTGAGTAGTCTTCAAAGGCAGACTCATGGAGAATGCATTGCAGTAGTCTAGGAGGAAAATGATGAAACAAGATGTTTATCCTTAGAAATGAATAATGTTAGCAATAGGTTTTCCTTGGCATCTCTCCAACACTGTTGGAACTACAGGCCCCAATATTCTAGCGAAAAAATTGTGTAGCCCCAACACTTATATCTAAGGTGTCAGGTTTGGAGGCACTCAGGAAGGACTCAATCAAAAGATTTTTAAACTACTCTGCTGGCACGGTAGACGGAACAGGTTCTATAAATGAAATGTTTTGCACCTGTATTACTGAGCAAAAGTGAAAGTGCAATCCAATAATTCAGCCAGACAATAGAAGAATTGTTGGAAAAGGAACTCTATGATTGCACAAAGCTGACCCCAGACTGAGTGTCTATAGCAACAATAGTTTATCAGAAACAGCCTGCAAACTCAAATAACATCATTTCTGAAAAAGAAAAGCTGTAATTCAGTTTGGGGCAATTTGAAATGTTTTTGTTCCTATTATTGGACAAAAGGGCAGTGTTCTGTATTAAATTAGGCCATCGTGCGTAAAGGGCAACAAAGGGTCAGTATTATTTATATTTTTCTAGATTTTGAAAACTAAGATCCCTAAAATTTGGGTTTTTAGATTATCAAGTCAGGGTGGACCCTTGTCATCATTACAACTTAATCTAGGAGCTTTTGGTTTTCCAGTTCTTCTGAAATTATACTTTTTTGTTGATGAGTGATAAAATTAAACAGTTAAATTACATTAAATAAATAAATTTAATAATCCTAAGTAGGAATGATACAGCTTCAGAGGAGAGGGGAAAATTCATCTGTTAAAGGTCATTTCCTGCATGATAAGATCCGATTTTATTTTGCTTTGGTCAGGTTTTAAATGCTGAGTTTGCATCAGGAAGGTTTCCCTTTCTTGATTCTAGCCACATCATGTATGTGGCCTGGCAACCTCTTTATTCTTACATGCTCTGAGTGGCAGTTCTACTAGGAGTCAAAATAGGCAGTCTTCCCAATATTTTATGGCTTACTTAGCTTCAACTGTACAATTCAAGCAATTTTATGTTCATTAACTTCTCAGAATTATAGTTAACCTTAATATTAACTTTTTAAATCTGTAATGGTTTAAGTTGACTATCTTATTATTAGTGTTGATAGTGACTGGTTTACATTGTATGTTGTTGTTGTTGTTAATTGCGAAGTCGTGTCCGACCCATCGCGACTCCATGGACAACGTTCCTCCAGGTCTTCCTGTCCTCTACCATCTTCTGGAGTCCATTTAATTTCACACCTACTGCTTCAGTGACTCCATCCAGCCATCTCATTCTCTGTCGTCCCCTTCTTCTATTGCCCTCAATCTTTCCCAGCATTAGTCCCTTCTCCAGTTGGTCCTTCCTTCTCATTAGGTGGCCAAAGTACTTGAGTTTCAACTTCAGGATCTGGCCTTCTAAAGAGCAGTCAGGGTTGATCTCCTCTAGGACTGACCAGTTTGAATGCCTTGCAGTCCAAGGGATTTGCAGGAGTCTTCTCCAGCACCATAGTTCAAAGGCCTCCATTCTTTGGCGCTCAGCCTTTCTTATGGTCCAACTTTCACAGCCAGACATTGCAACTGGGAAAACCATGGCCTGGACTATACGCACTTTTGTTGTCAGGGTGACGTCTCTGCTTTTTAGTATGCTGTCTAGATTTGCCATAGCTTTCCTCCCTAGGAGCAAGCGTCTTCTAATTTCTTGGCTGCAGTCCCCATCTGCAGTGATCTTGGAGCTTACATTGTATAAATACTGCTATAACTAGCTAATGTGGGGGAGGAGGAGGAGGAGGAGGAGGAGGAGGAGGAGGAGGAGGAGGAGGAGGAGGAGGAGGAGGAAGAATCCAACAATGTTCTGTTCTTGGCTGAGAGTTGTTTTAAATGCTTCAGAAATATAAATTAAGTTTATGCGGCATACAGAATTCCCCAAAGGTATACAGGCAATATTTATTATGTTTTCTTTCAAATAGAGCACTATAGCTATCTAAAAATAGCCCTCTTTTATTAAAAAAAAACCATCTTTTAGCCCCTTTCATTCCACAAGGCATTTTAAGCAAATCCATTATTACACAAATAGAAGGGTTTTTATTAAAGCTTGGTTGATTCTGTTGGCATTGGTGGTTTTAGAAAGTGGATATTGTAATAGGGCCATAACTTCGAGTGCATTTATGCACGTAGTTCAACTGCAGCAGATGATCTGCGATATGTTTTCATTACAATATTTACTTTATAACTGAGACAGATGATATATATATCATAAATATATTTATTTATTTATTTATTACTGGAAGACCAAGTAAAATGAAAAGGGAGAGCAGATTTGATTGGAATGGATTATTTAAATAAATATGTATTACAAAGAGTGCTCAGGATTTGTTTTCCGGGCTGCATGCAAACAACAGAAACTTTTTGGATAGACTGGAAATCTTATAGGGTTTTTTTTCTGAAAGATTTTTGGATTTGATGTGAGGTATTCATAAAATAGATGAGAGAGAAACAATAGGAATGTAATTGTCTAGAACTAAGGAGAAATTTCAATTAATGGGTGAAACAACTAGCCTCCAGAAGTTGTAGAGACTCCAACATTGGAAATTTTAAAGAAGTGATTGGACAACCATTTGTCTGAAATAGTATAGGATCTCCTGTTTGAGCAAAGGGTTGGACTAGAACAGGGTTTTTCAACCTTTCACCCATTGTACCACTTTTAGGATATGGCAATATCCGAGTACCACCAGTCGCCTAGCAAGGTGTCAAAAACTTAATGACAAAAAAAAAAAGAAAAAGAAAAAAGTGATAAAGTACAGGTAGTCCTCGACTTACAACAGTTTGCTTAGTGACTGTTTGAAATTACAATGGCACTGAAAAAGTGCCCCCCAAGCCACAGCTGAGCAAGACACCTGCCTGCCCGCCTGGCCGCACTCTTCCTCATGTCCAAGGTTTTCGTTGTTGTGAGCATTTCTGTTGAGGATTGGCAGTGGGGTGGGGGGTGTTTGGTTTTTATTCCTCCCGTCTGCTGGGTGGTTGCAGCAGGTTTTCATCACTTCACATGACCCTGGGACACTGTGACTGTCATAAATATGAATCAGTTGCCAAGCATCTGAATGTAAATCACAAGACCCTGGAGATGCTGCAACATTCCAGCTGATTGTCGCTTCTTCTGGGCTCAGCAGAAGGGCCAGGATCAGTGCTGCTTTCCAGCTGATTGG